AGAAGATTGGAAAGCTTGGCATGATAAAAAGCTACAGATGGTGAGAAGAGCCGTAGACGGAAGTGCAGTGGCGTGGTACTGGAAACGCCTTGAGTAGTGAAATATATTACGAATGGTCAGTAAATATGGTGAGATATAACAGTCATCAATACAAGATAGCTGTGACTGGGAAACACCTCAGCTAATGTGTCACAATACAAAAGAGATATCAAACAGTTTAGAATGCAAAAACTAAAGTACTATGGTGCTAAATATTATGGTACGTAGCAGGTGTGCGATCGTATCAATGAGCGAAAGCAAACAGTTGCAAACTGTTTTGCTTGTACATCCTGATCCGTGCGGAAGACAAAAGATTGTTCTACTGTCTAGCTGAACTTTATGCGGTGGTCATTGCTTTAGGCGGCCTGGATAATGACAGAGCGCCTAAAGGTAGACAGGAGCAAATGGAGCAGAAAAAATGTTTGCAAAAATAACCCGTGAGGAACAAGGAGCGACAACAGTTCTTAAGATGAACAGAAAGAAGGCATTCGCGTCAACAATTTAACGTTATGTTGTAATGGTGGTTCGTTGCGACACAACCACAACTAGTCGTGTCCGGGCTAGCGATAGTGCGAGATCGCCGGCATTTACGCAAATTTGACCCTATGACCTGCGGATTACAAGGTACCAACCCGATCGAACTCAGAAACCGGCCGATCAAGGTGAAAGAAAAAAGAAGCTGTTTGCTTCAAAGTAGCCAACAAATTAACAGCAGTCCTAAAAGTGCCAAAAAGTATTACTCACAATAGATTCATGGGCCCGAGAAATTGCCGCGTCAGGTAGAAGTTTGGTCTCAGTTCGAAAGCAAAAAGTAAGTGATGCAGTGCACCCTACAATGACACTCCGATGCCATGCAGCAGCAATTCAGTGTAGGCGGGGCGGAAGTACTGCTGAGGCACCCAAACATGTAGTAACACTGATTCGCATTCGCAGCACGAAAATTGCAAACCAGATAGAGATCTGGTTTGCAATTTCCATGACGCTGCATTAGGAATGTGGTTGGTTGAGACTTCAGTTTTAAAGTCCTCTTTCGGTCATCTATTGGCATTTTTAAATAAAAATAGGATAAATCATTGGCTTGCCCCATATCAGAACGTGTCATTTGGTAACACAGGTGATCAATCCAAAGACCTGTAGACAAAACCATTCTGAAGAAATAAAGATAAAAGCAGGTACCAGAAGAACAATATCAGGCAAGTAACCTACATTCGCAATTAGTGTCCTGGGTAAGTGAATGAGGAGGTTCCGGAAATTGGTGGCTCACTCACTTCGTACATAGGTGACACTTAATAAAGCAAAGAGCACGAATGATATGAACAGGAAAAAAGGCCAGTATCTAACACCGAGCTTCAGGGGCTCAACGTTTAGTGTTAAATCAAGCGCACTCAAAGAATTACCAGGGAAGAGAAAAAAAGAAAATTAGCGGGTCCCATAAGCTCATTCAACAGCAACCGCAAAATCTAAAGCAGAGCCTGCTGGTTAAACCTTGTAAAGCAGTACATCCTGCAGTAGCACCCTGTGTAAAACTTTTAACATTGGTCAAGGAAAGCATCTGCACATTTTCAGTACCGATGACATTTAAGCACATTGAAGTGAAGTGCAGTGGCAATAAGAACGATCGTATGCAGTATAGTACCAAGGTTTAGGCCGTTGGGATGATGTGTAAAGAAGACTGAACAACGGTTAATAAGTTAAAGGCAGCAGACATACATCGGTACATCGTACCAACGCTTAACTGCCACGCAATCACCACTAGTCGCGTGTTGGCTAGAGATGCTGCGAGCTCGTCCACAAGTACGCAGGCTCAAAGCAGTGGCCTGTGGACTAAAAAACAGAAGATTAAATCACTCGGCCATCGGTGAACGAAGGGAAAGGAATATGTTGCACTTCCATATATTGCATAGGAACTGCGATTTTCTGCAGCTCATAAGTACAGTTTCTTTATGATCTATTAAAATGAAAGGGTCAAATGAAATCTATAGTTCCCAATAATCTGCCAGATGGCGAAATCAAGCCTCGTGTGGCCATATTTCGAAGAGATGTCGATCCGTAAAGTACAGAGTTCACAAGATTTGGCTCATAAAAAACTAATATTGCGCCAGAAACCATAGACATAGATGCGCTCATAAAAATAAATGAGAAGAGTGAAATTCCAACCCAGGTCATATTGATTGTTCATTCATTGGATTATTGGATAGTAAAGAGCAGAAAAGAGATCCATTGTCAGCTCCATCACTTCACGTTCATCGTTTCGGGATGAGCTGGTCTTCGCGAGACGGAAATCTGCATAGAGCCGTCAAAATCGCAATAGAAGCAGCAACTTCCCGGAATATTCAGTAAGTAAGAAGTCAACATTTTTGAAACATTTCTACGTTCGTTCTTCAACGACGAGCTCCGGCAAGCGGTTCCAGTCGTTCACCATACGGGTGAATAGAGCAAAAATGATCCGCACTCAAAGCCTCCTTGGTTTGAATTCTTTCTATTTATGACCTCTAGTCGTAGTCCCAGCGTTGAGAACTGCAGTTCTAACCCCCAACTATCGTGTAAGGATACGTCCAGTGAAAATTAAATCTTCACGGTGGTGACGGTAATCCATAGGGAAGAGATTAAAGTGTTGGAGCCGAAGGGGATAGGGTTCATTGGGGTAGTAGAGAGGAGGGGAGATCCCTTGTCAGCTCCATCGCTTCCCGATCATCGCTGGGATGCTCGTCATTGTGCAAAGGGAACTCCGGAGAGGCCATCGCACTCGTAGCTGAAGCAACATGATCCCGGCATATTAAACAGGTGTGAATCAAGTAGTCGTTTGAAGCAATCCTGTCTGTGCATCAACGACTGGCGGCGGTAACCGGTTTCAATTATTCACAACGCGAGTAGATAGAGCAAGAATGGACCGTACTTTGAGCCTCCGTGACTTGAATATTTTCTATTGGTAGCCTCTACTCGAACTCTTGATGTTGAGGTGGAAGAATTCCTGCAACTCTCTCCCCAATTCTCCCCTGAGGATACGACGGGTAAAAATCAAGTCCCCACGCCGGCGGCGGTAATCCATAGAAAACATATTCAAATGCCGAAGCCGAAGGGGATACGGCAGGTCACGTAACTCGGAGACAAACTTCGACCCACGCTATTGGACCTTTTCGATCATGTCGCGCTCAAATTTGGAAAGCGGGTAGGCAGCAGGAAGGCCGTATTCCAAAATCGGGCGCACATGCGAGGTGAACAGAAGTCTAAAAAGTTCCGGTGTCAAGCTCTTCGGATGGCATGAAACATCCTATAGGCAGCGGCAACCTTCTTCATGGTGTCCTGAGTGGATCTTAAGTCCGGGGAAACAATCAAGCCCAGATCTCTCTCTGAAGTGACATTTTTGAGCAAGAAACCACCTGTGGTAAGCGCCGAATGGTTCAGGAGCGCTGATAGGCAGGGCGGAACATCTGTCTTGATTAATGGGTAAGCGCCACTGAATCGACCAAGTGTGCAGGAGATCGAGCGTCTCTTGTAGTCGATCAGCATCCTTTAGAGAGGATACCTCCTTCCATATCTTTAGATTATCCGCATAAATCAAGCAATTCGATTGTAGCTCCGATGGCAGATCGTTGATGAAGATGTTAAAAAGTTCGGGGCCGAGGACGGAGCCATGTGGAACACCGCTGGTCATATGAACAGGATCGGAATACGTTTCGTTCACTCTCACCAGCATGGAACGAGTGTGTAGGAAATCGGAAATCCAGGAGAGACAGTTTCCAGAGACACCGATTCCTCGGAGTTTGTGGAGGTGTTCATGAGGGACCTTATCAAAAGCTTTACTGAGGTCCAAGAACACAACATCCAGGCGTTTGCCAACATCCAATGAATTTGCCCATTTTTCTCTAGCCACAAGCAAGTTGGTAGAGCAGGAGCGAGCTTTGCGAAAACCATGTTGGGCACTGGACATCAGATCCAACCGCTCGAGATGAAGTCGAAGCGCCCGTTTCAGGACCCGTTCCATGATTTCGCACATTATCGATGTAAAGCAGATGGGCCGGTAGCTAGCTGGGTCTTGCCGGGTGGATCACACGACTCAAGAACAGATTTAGAACCGCGCCGTTAGACCCTCTCAATCTGGTTAAATCCGAATTTGGTGAGATGATAGGAGGCAGGGAAACCGCATTAAAGCATTGAATGTACGTGCGATGTGAACAGGAGTCGAAATAGTACCGGAGTCAGGCAACAGAAGCTTCTTCGTATAGCATAGGACATCCTATAAGCAGTGGTGACTCTCCAAGGTGTCCTGGGTTTATCTTAGGTCAGGAGACACGATTAAGCCGTCTCGCTCATGAGTGGCATTTTGAGTAAAGTACCGCTAATGTGGTGGGCCCCAATGGGTTCAGTCGCGCAAATAGGGAGTACAGAATATTTGTCTCGATTAATAGGCAATCGCCACTGGATCGAGCAATAGTGTAGAAGATCAAGCATATCCTGAAGTCGATCAGCCTCCGCTATGATAGAGACCATTGACAGCCTCCATCTGCATATATCAGGCAATCCAACTGCAGCATAGAAGACAGGTCGTTAGTGGTATTGGAGAGCTTGGGACCAAGAAGAGAACCCTGGAGACACCGTTGGTCATGAGTAGAGAACCAGAAAGCGCTTCATTAACTCTTACTTGCATAAAGCGACCGATCAAGAAATCAGAAATTCGGGAAAGAAAGTTCCCAGCAACGCCGATAGCAAGCGCTCATGTGAGACCTAGTAAAAAGTTTGCGAAAGTCGGCAAACACGACACCTAACTGTTTCTCGAGATCTAGTGATTGAACCCAATTCTCCTTGGTCACGAGCAAGTTCGTGGTGCACGAGCGAGCTCTTCGGAAACCATGTTGGACACAAGAGATGAAGTTTTGAGGCACCTTTTACATTCCTTTTCATGACTTTACATAATATTGATGTCCAACAAATTGGACGGTAACTTGCTGGTTCTGAACGGCTCAGACAGTACAAGTGGTAAAAAGGAAAACCCTAACAGTATTAAGTCACAACAAAGCACTAGACAAAAGGATTTAGGACTCACTTGCTATTTAGAATGGCGACAATATCCCCTTTCTGCATCGATACTTCTTCCTCCGTCCTAGATATATATACAAATATGGAGACGTATAAGTTTGCTGCACTGGGCCTGGGGAAGGAATTGATAGCACGATTTCCAGCTGTAGTCGTCTGATCTATCTGCTCCGAAAGGTTTTTTAGCACACGAGGAGAATGTTCAAGTGACCTTTGCGAACCGTGGCTGATCTCGGCAGCTGAACCTTTCCAGCTGTCCATGACAGGAAATTGATTTGATATTAAAGAATTTCGAGTAGGAGGGCACGATAAAATCGTATGTTCGTTGGACTTTACTCCTTGGATGGAAAATGGAGTAGAATTTAGATCACAAGAACATCGGGAGTTCTCCTTAGGCAACTTGTTAATGCGTGCGTCCTCAAGAAGCTGATTTGGTTTCGGCAAAGAGCTGGATTTAGTCGAGTGCGACTGCTGAAGAGCAGTATTTGTAGAAAAATCTTTATGCATTTTATCCTTTAGAGGGGACCTGTTGAAGCAATTTCCCATGATCCACATCACTGAAGACGTCCACAGTGCTTATGCGACCTTCATCATGTTAAACTACGTTTGTAAGTAGACCGGTTAAACACCCTACAATTCACAAAATGTAAAAATCAAAATCAATAAACATTAGTATTATTTCGCCATGTTTGCTTAACACCATTTGTAACTGCATAGAATAACAACCTACTTTCAAGGTCACGCTATGCATTAAATGCTTCCATATCAATGGATTATTGGACTGTAGAAAGCAGTAGGAACATCTTTTGTCAGCTACATTGACTTTCGATCATTGTTCAGAGGCTGCGATTCATTGTGAGGCGGTATTCCACATGAGACCGTGACAGCTACAGTGGAAGCCGCTTTGACCCGTCGAGCTCAAGAGGCAAGAATCGAACTTTCAAGTTCAGTTGGGACCGGAACGATAGGATAATCCGGTGCCTACTCCTTGTTTTGTATATCTTCGGATGGGGTCTTAGTAGGTTTGCTGGAGATATGGAAAAGCCTAAAACTAAGACCGCATCACACCCAGCCCAACCAATTCCTGCGGGCATTTTCCCACCCAGCAGTCCCAGCCAATTGCGGTTTACGTGAAGTAAAAGAGTGCAGGGTAAGCTAAGAAAACAAGTGGAGGAATATCAGCTAAATAATGCTATTCTCAAGATGTAAGAAGAAATAAAAAGAAGGGAAACTTGAATATACAATTCGGTTTGGAGAAGGGGAAAGTTAAGTACTGCCACCCAAGGGCATCTAACTGACGGTCGAAACCCTCTATTGTATACACACTAACGACGTGCTCCGGAAGCGATTTCCAACGTTCAATAACTCGGCGCGACAAGTGTAGTGCAACAGAAAACATGCTCTTTCAGTATCTTGTAACATTGGATTTTATGGTTGTTTTAACCTTCGAAACGTCCATTTGTTTTAATGACTGCACGTCCGCTGTCACAAACCGTTTTGGTAAGTTCCTCGCTGCACGTTTCTCGCTCTGCCTGATTCGCTTCCTATTCTTGTATCCTGCACAATACACATTGTGTTCAGTCTCCTCCGACTTCTATACTGTCGTATTTGACACGTCTTACGTGTCATTGCTTACCGACTAGTATCCCAGGTTCCGCCCAACACAAGCGAGTTTCCATACTTACCCTACCAGAACGCAGTCTGTGCAGCTTCACTGGTGACCTCGGAGGCTAGGCAGCTTGGCGGGACTAAATAGCCAGGACAAGTCTGGACCGATCTTCGCCGTTAAGCTAAGGTAAGTGAGGATAAAGTCTCCTCTAATTCTCCGGTAGTGCACTGAGTACATAAACAAGCTAAGCAAACGTTCGGGATAAATTCGCCCACGTACTCCTCGGGCTAAACTTGTACCCACCCTCAAAACCCTGTCCAGCTCCATTTTGTCCTTTACAAGACAAAGTGGACAAGCCCGGATACAGTACTCTAAGTAGGGTCGCACAAAAGCTGAGAACAGTTTCACAAAAATATTGGCCGTTAGAACACCGAAAAAGCGGCGAATAAACCACATCATCCGGAACCCTCTACAAGCAGCCTTCCTCCAATTGTCCCCAGAGTAAAGCAATGATACCTAGATCAATCTGCTGAGTGACAACAGGGAGTTCGCTTCCACAAACTACACAGCGCATGGGAGGGATAGCACCTTTAATGCGATAGACAGAACATTTCGCCTGATTCATAGACATTAACCATAAGCTTGACCAATCCCAGAGCCTATCCAAGGCACGCTGAAATGCCTCAGAGTCACCAGGTATATCCACAATATTCCAGAGCTTGAGGTCATCAGCAAACAATAGCGACGGTACTTCAAGCTCCTGGGGTAGGTCATTGACATAAATTTCGTAAAGCGACGTCCCTAGAATCGAGACCCGCGGAACGTCACTAAGAACAGCTTGTCTAAGCGAAAGGCTGTGCCCCACACGTACACAATGTTCTCTCCCATCTAGGAAAGCAGAGACCCATTTAAGGGCGGCTCCAGATATCCCATATGATCTCAACCTCAGTGAGAGTCGTTGATGTGGGAAAGTAGCAAAAGCTTTCGAGAAGTCAACGAAGAGCATGTCGATGACGTGACTGTTGTCTACTGCCTCAGCCCAGCTTTCACGAGCTAAAAGTACATCTGTCAGACACGAACATCCCTTACATAATCCGTGCTGTGCCGCACTGAGAAGGTTAAACTTAATCAGGTGCTTCTCGACCGAATCCCTGACCAATTTTTCATACAACCTAACTACTACGCTTGTTAAGGTGACAGGCTGGTAGTTCGCGGGCAGAGCTCTGTCACCGCCCTTAAAAATCCGACAGAGGATGGTCTTCTTCCATTCCGAAAGTAAGGGAAACTGTCGAGTGATATTGTAAACATGCATGTCAGAGGGCCACTTACCTCAGCGGTCAATTCATGCATCAGCTTCGGATGAATTGAATCAGGGCCCGAAGCTTTGGCAGGATTCAGCCCTTGCAATAGCCCGAAGGCTTGTGTCCGCGTTACGCTGATTTCAGTTAGGCAAGAATCCTCTGGAAATTATGTGACCAGCTCAAGCTTAGGTACAGAGGCCTCACTAGAAAAGACAACACTATACTGTTCGTATAGTATGCAAACATTATCATAGTCCATATGCCCACTGGTCCCGGCCACTCGTAGTAAAGCCGGTATAGACGAGTTTGTACCACTACGTCTCTTTACGTAAGCAAAGAATTTATTTGGATTTGCTACGACTGCGTTGGCCAACTCCCCTCGTACTGAAGACGAAGTGTACTAAGAGGTTGCTTACATTTACTCCTAACTGCTCGATAGCTTTCATAGTTGCTGGTTGATGAAGCCGCTCCGAAAGTTCGCCAGTACTTAGCGCGCTTCCTGAGCAGGCAGTTACCTGTATGATCCATCCAAAGAGGCTGCGCCCTTGGCACCGGTCTCTTAATGGGTGGAATGTGGGGAGCAGAGATGTTGGTGAGGTATGCCTTAAATTTCTCCCAAGCTCTCTCAACGGTTTCAGTCACGGTGATTGCGCAACACAGAACTGAAGCTTTTTCGCACTGCGTTAAAGTCTGCCTGCCAAATATTTGAACATGCCTCAGCGGTAGCTTGAGGACACCTAGTTAGAGCACAGCGAAAGGATATGCAGACATGGTCACTGGCCCCTAGAGGTCAGCCGTAGGTAATATCACTTACGAACTCGTGTGACTTCGCAAAAATGGGATCCTAGGTAGATGGCATTTGGTTGCACATATATGTTGTCGGGAGGTTCACGAGCTGCTCCAAAGGCAGTTGCACTGTTAGCTCACGGAGCTTCGAACCGAAAGTGCCCACCACCGAACTGCAAGACAGATCAGCTAGCAGACTTCAGGGAGGTTGAAGTCACCCATTTTTAGGCACCTATTGGCAGCCTGATTACGAATAAATTCAATAACCACCCTGGAGATAATTCCGGGAATTCGATATACCACTACAAGTGTAAACTGAGCAGAGGAAGTGCACACCATAGTTGAGAGGGCTTCAACAGTTTGATCGGGCGACTGGAACACACAGCTCCTCAACACATCGAGTTTACAACTCACATAAAGAGCGATGCCCCCACCTTGGCGGCCAACGGAGCGCTCGCATCTAAGCAGTGCATAGCCAGGAAAAGATACTTCACCGTCGGTGTTATCCGGGGACAGCCACGTTTCAGTGATAGCAAGTATGCCGGGAAGCGATTTGTCTACAAGTAGACCTACCTCGTGTACGTTGTGCCATGGGCTACGCACATTACTAAACACTACCCGAATGATCTCGGCACGACCGGCCCTGGGTCGTACGCGACCAGAAGGGTTCTGGTAGGGAAGAATTTGACTTCCGGCTAGCCACCTGAAAACTCACAAGACGTCGGCCTTGCTCATCAGCCGCCCGCCTTCTCTTGAGGCTTTGGATGGCTTCCTTTAACTTCAGTCGATCTGCAGTGGGAGGCCCGGCTGTACGCTGACATTACTACACTTAAGTAGGAATGCAAAGCGCGTTAAGGCTTTGCGTTCCTCCGGGGTTAAGAGGACTATACGAAGTAGTCAGGGTCGTGGGTGTGGCGTAGCTGCAGGGAAGTACCCCAATCTGGTTAGTTTCCTGATAG